TGCTGCCAAAGCAGGCCCCACACGTGCCGTTTTGATACATGCATAGGGTTTTGTGTTTCAAAGATGTGGAGAAATTAGGGGTTACATAGATAGTTGTAGTTACATTTTTCCTCTGATTATAAAAGAAGTGTAAGTTTGTTATAGAAAATAAAGAATAAAAATGAGAAACCCCCTTAATCTGCAAACTTTCAGAGATAACCATTTTAAAATACTTTTCAGTTTCTTTTTCAAAAACAGGATCATCCTATATATACTGTTTTTAGAATCTGCTTTTCCACTTATATCAAGAATGTTTATTTGGCTTATTTAAAAAATCTTGTTATTTTATTTTTCTGTGTGTGTGTATGCTGGGAGTAGGGTCAAAAATCTTGTTATTAGCAGCTGTTCCACCACACAGATGTGGTTGGGTCTGTTTGACAACATATCACATGGTTAATTTGACTACAACCATGTGTGTTGGAAAAACGAGATTTATTACAGGAATGGAAATAATACCAAACAACATAGGGGAAAGTAATTCATATGAATTTTAACTTTGACTTTGGAATGTGGCTAACACAAATACCCTCCCCACACTGAGCGTGTCTCTGACCACACCACTGCCCTCTTCCCTCTGCACCACCCATCATCCGGCTTGAGTGAGGATCTTTCTGGATCACCAGGAAGTGGGGGAAGTCGTGGATTATACGATGTAATCTGAGGAAACACATATCTTCCAGCTTAATCTGGATGGATGAAATATTTCCATCAATAGATTCATCCCTGGCCAGGTGTGGTGGCTCACACCTATAATCCTAGCACTCTGAGAGGATGAGGTGGGAGGATCACATGAGGTCAGGAGTTTGAGACCAGCCTGAGCAAGAGCGAGACCCCGTCTCTACTAAAAATAGAAAGAAATTAGCCAGACAACTAAAAATGGAAAAAATTAGCTGGGCATGGTGGTATATGCCTAGAGTCCTAGCTATTTGGGAGGCTGAGGCAGAAGGATCACTTGAGCCCAGGAGTTTGAGGTTGCTGTGAGCTAGGCTGACACCACGGCACTCTAGCCGGGCAACAGAGTGAGACTCTGTCTCAAATAGAAACTAGATTCATTCCTGAGGGTCAATGAATTAGAGTCCTGTCCTTTAAGAAATGTAAATACCCCTGGGAAGGGCTGGTGTGTGTATAAATCACAGTCAGTCTTTATACACAATTTGTATAACTGATAACTTTCCTTTACCCAGAGGGTCCTTAACAGATCCAGAGCGTAAAATCCTTAAAGGTGCAGAGCTCTTTATGAACCTGTAAGGGTATGAGCAGGAGGCCAACATTTTGAAGACATACCTTTCCAGTTTGGATTCCTGATGCTCTTGGGTAGTTAAGATTTGGAGGGAATAAAGAAACTAGTCTGAGGGAGATCAGCAGTTTGTGCTGAACGCAGCACCCTAGGGGTGCTTTCCTGTCTCCACTCTGGACTCTGTCCTGCTTCCTCTCAACTCTGAACCTGGCAGGATTCAGCCTCCATCTCACCCTACTCTCCTCCTTTTTTTGAATTCTTATCTTAGTGAATCACACCATCCATCTTAAGCTGTTGAAGGTTAAGCAACTTTTGTTTTCTCTCTCACCTTTCCAGCCAAAGGAGTCTTGCTGCTTTTGCCTCTGGACTGTTTCCTAGATTCTTGCCCTCGTCCCCAACTTTAGGACCACTGCTTGGGTTTAGGGCACCCCAAGTCTCCAATCCAACCTCAAGAGGTTGCCAGAGCGTCTTTCTGATGGTGGCACTAATTATGTCACACCCACTTCTTCTATGATGCTCAAATCTTCAGCATGACATACAATGATCTTCACAACCTGGCACCTACTTCTTTGGACCTTATTCTCCAGCCACACCTGGCTACAAGCCTTCCCTAACCCCCCGGTGCACACAGGCTACCACCTTTGCATGCTTCTCCACATGACTTAAATGGGGTTTCAGTCTCGGTTTGGCAAACTCTGGCAAACTCTCGTTGTTTTCTTCAGGAGTACATCAAACACAGCCCGGTAACTTGGATTTCATTGTTTCTTTCCTTGAGTTCCACGGAACTTGGCGTAATTGTCTGTCTTCTCACCTGGCTTGTGAGCTTCTGAGGGCAGGGCCCATCCCTGTGTTCAGCATAGTGTCAAAGCCAATAGACACTCAACAAATGACTGTTGAATCAAATAGTTGGTGCTCATAGTTCGCATTTCATGTGGTGTGATACACTGCCTGGATTGTAGTCCTTTCATGTGTATGAGGTGTGACCAAACCTTGATATGACTCATGATTTAACAAGCATACCAGAATCTATATATTCAAATGAGGGCTGCTTCCTTCAGAGTCTTCTCCTTGTAAGACTGGAAACTTAGTCCAGCGATGCTGTCATTGTGCAAAACACTTTTGGAGCGCCTCTCTTAGAAACTATGTTGGCCACTATAGCACTTTCTTTTCAATATTTTCCACAGGAGCTAATGTTTTTCATTAATTCAGCATTCATCATGCACTTGTCGATCCCAGGCACCAGGCTGGTGCTGGGTGAAAGATAAATCAGACATTTATCCAGTCTTCAAGGAAGTTTCTGTTTGGCAAGGGAGATAAGATCTGGGCAATCTCTGCGATACGTGGTTAAGGTATAATGCTCCAGAAGAAGTTTGATTTAAGTTTTGGAAAAAGCCAAAAGTCCTTTAGTTTCAGCCTCCCAACCAGGTGGATGACAGGACTACAGGAGACCATGCTGCTGTAAGCCAGTTTCTTCCGCAGACTCTCAAACAGGAGCCCCGCGCGTTTCCAGCACGCTCCTTCCCCAACACGAGACTCAATTCGCTTGGCATGTCGTTTAAAACCCAGACTCCCACTTGACGGCGGAGCTCTTCTGCGCAGCGGTCTTCCCAGCCAGGCTGCAAGGCCTTGGAGGCAGGTGCCAGGTCCCAGCCCTCACCACCCTCACTGCGCCTGGCGGACGCGGACTGCGTGTTGGACACACGTGCACTGAGCGACCGAGCCCAAAAGGTGTGTCACGCCACGCGCGGGCACTTCACGCTCGGTGCCCTCTCTCCCTCTGGTTTACCCCCTCGGCGACAGCTGAGAGACAGGAGGGACCGACTGGAAGGGCTAAAGCCGGGAGGGCCAGCGTGGGGGCACCGGCGGCGGCCCGGCGTGGAGCCCGGAGTTCCTGCTTCCTGCTGGCGGCGGGAGCGCGGCGAGGGGCCGAGGGGCCCGGCCGGCAGCCCGACCCGGGGCGGCGGGGCGCGGGCAGGGCCGCGTGCGCCACGGGACACCGCCCCGGCGAAGGGGAAGGTTTTCGGCTCCGGGAAAGGGAGCCGGATCCGCCGGGAGGGCCAGGAGCAGCGGGCGAGGGAAGTGGGAAGAGGCGGCGCCGAGCGGCCGGAGGGAAGCAGGCGCGCGGGGTCGCGGGGTCGCGGCCGAGCGGAGGGTCCGCGCCGCCGGCTAGCCCGGCGCCCGCGCCCCGCGCGCCGCCCCGCCCGCGCAGCGCCCCCCCGCCCGCGGCGCAGTCTCCTCCCGGAGGTGCCGTTGGCCCGGCCGCCACTCCCTCCGGCTCCCTCCCTCAGCTGCGCGCATCTCGTGCCAGCCCTCATTCCGCGCATTCCAGCGTCCTCCGCGCAAACTTGAGGCCGGGGAGGGAGGGCCCGCAGCTCCCGGCGCCGCCGCCGCGTCCCGTCAGGTGAGTGGGCGCCGCCCGCCGCCCGCCGCCCGCCGCCGCGCCCCCCGCGCCCGCCGCGCTCCTCGCGCCCGCCGCCCGCCGCCCGCGGCCCGCCGTGCGCCGCGCTCCCTTCCTTTCCCGGTTGACTCACTCCTCCAGGAATAGGGATCTCCCCGTCTTCCCGGCAGTCCCATTCTGGGAAAACTCCTCCCTCCGCGCGCCGCTCCGCGCCCGGCCGCTGCCCTCCCGCCCTGCCCTCCCGGCCGGCTCCGGCCGCGGCCCGCTGCGCGCTGACGCCCGCGGTGCCCGCTGCGCGCCTGCCGGCCGGGACTCAGCGGAGCCGCACGGGAGGAGCTGGAGCTGCGAGCGGAGCCCCGCGACCTGACTCAGAGCGCCCAGCCACCCTCCCGCACCCTGGGACCGGTAAGGCGGCGGGGCGGGACGACCCGGGAGTTTGCAGGACTTTGCCAGAGTGCGGGCGTCCGGTGTGGTGCGTGAGACGCTCTCCGGGACAGACTCGGAGAAGAGCGGGGCACGTGGAGGCGGCGCGGCTGAGGATGGGAGCAGCAGTGCGACTCCGCGGCTGGGGGTATACAGGGGTGTGTGCCCCTCTCTACAGTGTGTATATAGTGTGCACCCGGTACAGAGGGGTGTGTACCAGAGACCTGGGGGGAAGGGAGTCCGGGCTGCTGCAAGGACTAGAAAGAGAGGACCGGGAGCACCAGCGACGCAGGAGACCCAGACCCATGTCCCTTTCTGCTGGGCCCCTTCTGGGTCTGGTAGAGAGCCTGGGGTAGGTGTGCTGCCCGTTCTCGTGCTAAAGCGATGATGTGAAAGTGGGCACCTCTGCAAGGGGCCCCACGCCCAGGGCTGCAGAAGCTGTTGGGTCCCCCGAAGGGGACTCTGAGTCAAGGGGACAGAATTTCCAAGCCCCAAGTGAACGTCCCCAGTGGGCAGTCCGGGAGCTGCGCACACGCACGCAGGGGCCTCTGGTGAGGGAGGGCACGTGGTGGCCGGCGGTGCCTGTCTCCCCGATTCGGGTGTGTGAGAGGGTGATATCTGTTCCCGGGTGACTCACCTCGGCTCCAGTGGGCGTGTTCGTTTGTGTGGATGTGGATGACAGAGTGTTTCTGCTGGAGGGGGCCATCTGCCCGGACGCGCTAGCGTCTGTGAGCAGGTGTGTGACAGGCAGACCGCAGGAGGCTGTCTACACCTGCCCCTTCCAGGCAGCTGCCCTTCGCAGGGACCTGGGTCCTGTGGCTGCAGGGACGGTTCGGAAGCAAGCTGGTAGAAGGCTGAGGGAAATTGAGGTCTTTGCCTGTGGGTGGTGGGGTGGGTGGAATGTTTGTGGGGTGGTCCCCCCAGAAAGATGGGACCATTCAGAATCTTGAGACTTGTGTAGACAGTGCTTTTATGTTGGCCTCGAGGACAAACAGATAGGGATGTATAGCAGCAACTACCTGCCACCGGTTCACCTCTCCTCGAGCTGAGCAGGTAACCCGGTGGAAGAATCTCGGTCTTGACGACTAGCTGGACTGCCCAGCGCTTCCCGCTGGAAGAGGAATGAGCTGCTGTTGTGGGCGTGCTTCTGTGTGGGTATGATGTTTAGGGCTTCTTGGAAAGAAGGAGCAAGGAACTGTCTCAGCAGGTGGGGCTCTGGGCCCTGCTCCCCGTCCACCCCGAGGAGGATATGGATGTTCAGGAGGATATGGATGTTCTGGTGGAAGCACCTCATCCTCTCACCTGCTCAGGCCAGGTGTGTAGCTGGTCTAAAAGCAGCATCGATAGAGAAGGAAGGGTTCAGATTTGGGGGCAGATAGACTTGGATACAAATCTTGACGGTCACTCACTACCTGTAAGTCTCAGGCTTAGTTTCCTAGTGAGTAAGGGGGGAGGAGTAGGGGGCTAATTAATATGTATCCAGAAAGTTGTGAAAATTCAGTGTATGCAAAACACCTATTAGCACGTCCTAGGGACCCCACAGGTATTGTATCCCATGTTTCCTCAGCTTATTTCAGCGAGGAACCTCTTTTTTTTCTAGAGATTAAAGTGTTTTGAATTAGTGATTGTCTGAATACCCTTTGAGAAACTCTGCCCTATTTATTCATTATGTTTATTTAGCAGCCTGAACTGAACGTTTACTGTGGGCCAGGCCCTGCCATGTTCTTTAGGAGTCCACGGTGGCCAGTGGCCCAAGTAGAGGAGGGGGGCTGGCAGGGCTTTGTCACTGGGGAATACGCACGCTCCAACTCCTGTGTTTTTTTTTTTTTTTTTGAGACAGAGTCTTGTTGGTTGTCCAGGCTAGAGTGCCATGGCGTCAGCCTAGCTCACAGCAACCTCAAACTCCTGGGCTCAAGTGATCCTGCTGCCTCAGCCTCCCGAGTAGCTGGGACTACAGGCATGCGCCACCATGCCTGGCTAATTTTTTCTATATCTATTAGTTGGCCAATTAATTTCTATTTATTTATTTATTTATTTTTATTTTATTTATTTATTTATTTATTTTTTTGAGACAGAGTCTCGCTTTGTTGCCCAGGCTGGAGTGAGTGCCATGGCGTCAGCCTAGCTCACAGCAACCTCAAACTCCTGGGCTCAAGCAATCCTGCTGCTTCAGCCTCCCAGGTAGCTGGGACTACAGGCATGTGCCACCATGCCCGGCTAATTTTTTCTATATATATTAGTTGGCCAATTAATTTCTTTCTATTTATAGTAGAGACGGGGTCTCGCTCTTGCTCAGGCTGGTTTTGAACTCCTGACCTCCAGCAATCCACCCGCCTCGGCCTCCCAGAGTGCTAGGATTACAGGCGTGAGCCACCACGCCCGGCCCAACTCCTGTGTTCTAATTCCAGTTCTGCCTTGGCATCAGGGTGAACTTGTTGAATATTATTGGATACTCTAATGTCAGCACCTAACTCCCTCATTTTAAAGATGGGGAAACTGAGGCCACTAGAGGGTCAGTAACTTGCTTAATGTCACATAGCTTATGAGCGGCAGAGCTGGGACTAGAAGCCCTTGCTCTTCGCTGTCTCCTGCTCTGTGGATCCCAATGCGCAGACACCCCCCAGTTCCCTCACCTGCCTCCATCCCACTGGTGTGGAGGCTGGCGCAGCCCACCGTCCAGAGCTCAGATACGGTCGTCTGGTGGAAACACTCCCCTCCGGCCCAGCTGAAGGCACACAGCTGCTGGCAAATCTGAGGACGCTGAGTCTGAAGGGGCCCTCGGGTCTTTAAGACACACCCTGCTTTCTCCTTGGTGAGCTGCTCATCACCATGCCAGGTGGAGAAGGGTCCCCTCATCTTTTTAGATCTCCAGGGATGCAAATGTCACAGCCTCCCTTGGCTTCCATGCTGGAGTCTTGCCTCTCCCTGTGACTGTCACAAAGCAACCAGTATTGCCAAACCTGTGGCTCTTCCTCCTCCTTCCCAGTAGAAGTGGAGGTCGTTGGTCCCCAGCTTTGGTCCTTGTCTTTCGTGTAGTTGAGGTCAGTGCGGTGGCAGTTGAAACTTCAGGCTTGGAAGGGTAGCTTTACCTTGCCTGTCTTCCTGTGCCCCCTTGACCCTTTGTTGGCAGGGTTGAGACGACAACTCCCTTTAAAGCTCTGAAATTGGAGCTGAACAGCTGCTCTCCAGCAAGGGGGGGCTGTGAGGGGGCTGGAACCAGCCAAGGGGCCCAGGTGGATGTGGGGGCAGGGTAGGGCTTTGTCACAGGGGAGCACAGAGTCTCCAGCTCCTACAGTCTAATTCCAGTTCTGCCTTGACCTCTTCTGAAATGACAGTTTGTCCTTTGTTTTTGGATTTTCCTGCTAGATATTGGGGAGATTCTAATCACACCTATGAGACCCAGCTGTGGGGCCTTCACCTAGTAGGGACTGACTCTTTGGGAAATTTTCCACTAGAACTCCAGTCTCTAAGATCGGTGCCCGTGTCCTCCCGCATTTAATATACACAGGCTCTTGGAAAGGCAGGGGGATGGGCCAGGCTCCCCTGTAGCTTGGGCCAGCTCCTTGGCATGGCCTGGCCCCCTTGGGTGGGGACTGTTTCCTTTGACCCAAACTTCATGGGAACAATAGACTTCAGAGGAGTCACCAGGGGCAGGAAATGGGAGCTGTGCTCAGGCTGGGGTGACCCCCTTGGGGGATGGGATTGCATATCCGGTAGAGCACTAGGGGCTGTGCAAAGGGCACTGGGGAGGGGCTGATGACACACAGGGTGGGCCTCTGGGGTGGGGCTCTCCTCTGAGGGGGCTGTTGACTCAGAGTGAAATCTGAGCCCTCAGAGCCCATTCTGTGGCTGAGTGTTCTGCTTTGTGTCTCTCTGGTGTCTGCCAGCCTTCACTCATGCCAAGCTTACCTCTGCCAGAACCTTCTCTTCCTCTTCCCTTCAATCCCCTGAGATGTCTCTCAGGATCATCCTGGCCAGGATAAAAGGCTAGTGTTGTTTCCTCCTGGCTGGTCTCCACCTTGGCACTGAGCCTTGAGTAAGGGCTGCTGGGCTGCAATGCTGAGCAGAGGTCTGGGTAGGGGGTCAACAGGCCTGGGTCAGCTGGACAACACGAAGGGATTTCTTTCTTTGTGTTTTTTGTAGGGACAGGGGTCTCACTATGTTGCCCAGCCTGGTCTTCAACTCCTGGCCTCCATTGATCCTCCTGTCTCAGCCTCCTGAGTAGCTGGGACTACAGGCACACACCACCACGCCCAACATGAAGGGATTTCTTTAGCCACAGTCAGAGCAAGATAGGCTGGAGGAGATTCCTGTCTCTGAAATGTGTTGGAATGTTCTGGGAGGCAGTGGTCTCTTATCTTGCTCCCTCTTTGTTTGTTTAGACCAGACTTGGTGAGAGGGCTGAAGCTGCTTTGGGGGAACTGCTTTTCATGAGTTCAGGTGGCCAGACTCATCAGGTCAGGGTCCTGGGAGAAGCGCAGAGTGACCGCAGGACTGCTGCCAGGGTCTGGAGGAGGAAAGGGTGGTGGAGAAAACACACACTATCCTGATTCATTTCTTCAAGGGGGCAAGGTAGGGATCCTGGAAATGGCAGGCTGCTCAGCTTCTTATTGGCCCCTGCCCAATTCTAGGTCAGAATTGTGAACAATCTTCAGAGACTTTGAAAATAAAGCTGAGATAACTAGGAGCCGACACGAGTTCACTCTACCAAGTCTGGGCAAAAAAAATCTAATTTGAGTGGAGGAATGTTCAGTAAGGATTTTCAGCCAAATGATTTTCTTGGGTACGAGAGAGAAATGTGACCTGGCTGATAGAGCAGTGACGTGGACATGTAGCTGGTTGAACCTTGGGCGCTGAGCTCAGGTCACCCTGGGGAGGTGTCTGGTCATATGCCACAGAGCCCTCTCTTTGTCTTTGTCTTTGATGGACATTTCCATAGATACGAGAGCCTGTGTGGTCCATGTCCTCTGTTTCTCTTATTTCTCTGGGAGTTGAGGACAGCAAACATTGAGTGACAGAGCCAGGGTTCAAAATCATCTCAATTGTCTAGAATGCTGCAGTTAAGTAGAAAGATGAGATATAAAAGATGTTTTTTCTAACTTTTAAAACTAATACATGTTCATTGTAGAAAACTAGAAAGTAAAGGAATTCATAAAGAAGAAAACAAAGTGGTACATAGGACTACAACTCAGGGTTGACTTAGTATTTTTTAGGTCAGTGTCTCTCCAAATTTGTGTTTGTGCAAATGTGTATATTTTAACACAATTGCAATTATATTCTATCTAGTTTTTTCCCTACTGAACATTACATAGTAATACCATATGTCATATAAAATTATTCAAAAATAGTTTCAAAGATCTGAGTAACATTATGTGAATATACCTTAATTTATTTAACTGTGCCCGACATTGAGCAATATTGAACATATATACTTATCTCAAGAAGAAATCTAATAGGTTTAAATGCAAAATCCTGCATTTAAATTCAAAACATCAGTTGTATAAATATAGAATAGAGTGGAACTTACTCTCAATTCATGTGGAGGGGAAAAATTTTCGGGTTTTTGGTTGATGAAGGAAGGGGAAGGGAAACGAACATTTATTTTATTAAGTGCCTGCTAAGTGCCAGACATTATTCTAGACATTTCTGCGTACATCATCTCATATAATCCTCATTGCAGCCCTGTGAGATAGGGTTTGTTTGTTTCCTTGCTTTTGTTTTGTTTTCTTCTTTTAGAGACAGGATCTTATTCTGTCACCTAGGCTGGAGTGCAGTGGCACAATCACAGCTCACTGCAACCTCAAACTCCTGGGCTCAAGCGATCCTCCTACCTCAGCCTCCCGAGTAGCTGGGACTACAGGTGCGCCCCACAACACCCAGCTAATTTTTAAATTTTTTTGTAAGGACAGGGTCTCACTATGTTGCCCTGGCTGGATTTGAACTCCTGGCCTCAATTGATCTTCCTGCCTTGGCCTCCCAAAGTGCTGGGATGATGGCGTGAACCCCCCCCCCCCCCCCCCACCTGGGCTGTTTTGTTTTTTAACCTCTACAGAAGAGGAAAAAAGTTACATAGAGATTAATGTTGGGGTTGGAGTTTGAACCCAGGTTGCTCTGACTCTCCCTATCACGCCAGGAGCCCATATGGGCTGGGGGTGTGGAGAGGTCTGTGTCAAGGAAAACCTTAGTCCACTGAGCTCTGTGACACTCCACACTGGAAGGTACATACATCCCGATCCGTGTGTATTGGGCTCACCATTATTGCAAGTGTCTGCATAGAGGCTGTGTGAAGAATTAGAACCTGCCTGTCATCTGGGT